TTGACCTCCAAAGGCACTTCCAATCCAAAGGTTTTCTGCGGTTCTGATAAATCAGCTGGGGAGTCTTTGGTCTCAGTTAATGCTATGGTTGGTTCTGCCCAAGTACTTCTAGCTGTGCATCATTTCTGTCATTCATAAGGTTATTAAACAGTGGTGAACCATTGAGAGTAGACAAAAGCTTTGTGTTTTTTAAACTCAAGGGTCAGACACATTTTCATGCAAGCTGCAAATTGGTATTGCTTGCACAGAACTAGAGATCCAATTGCATTCCAAGCTTGCTTAAATAAAATTTATACAACTAGGTGGCTTTAAGAAGAAACCATGAATAGTCCAGACAAAAAAATCATGCACATATCCTGCCCTGAGGGCCATACCCATTTGTTTACTTTTTTGACTTTCTAAAAAGTTATTGGAAGATAAAAGCCATAAATCACCATTTCCTTTTTGAATTTAAACAATCTTTTCCTTGGCTTTGCATTAATTCTTTCTGTTATTTAAATCCTTCTCCACAGCCTTCATGAAATGTACCCAATTCTGGAGTCAGTACTCTGATAGCAGTTGCATCAGTGTCAAACAGAGAAACAAAACAATTCCTTATTGTTAAGATATTTCTGTTGATAGGTTTAAAGATTAGCATGGGGTTTTCTTAGTTCGTTTGCCCACTGTTCTGTTGTGGGAATTCCATTTTAACTGGCCATATGCTGTGACCACTGTGTCTTAATTGCCCATAATCTCTGTGTATGCTCATTTAAAGCTGTGCTGCACTGAAATGCGTATGTTGGTTGCAAGCACTGGAGCAGTGCCCTTTTCCCCCCGCAGTGGTCTATCCTGGCTACCATTTTTGTAGAGTCGTGGGTGGAAGAGAAGCACCCACCATCAAGAGCTATGTGAAATTTCAAGTTGTTTGAAGCATGACAGCACTTGACTTTCAGAGAATGACTGTAAGATGCTAGCACAAATGAAACTAATGTTTCTAGTTGTCTGAAGAAGTGTGCCCCCAAGTCTCAGCCTGAGAAAGAGGCCCAGCCTTCAAAATTTAAACCTGGACTAATAATCCTTAGTTAACACTCCTTAATAGTAAAAGATTCAGCAGCTACTGTCTATTAACAACAAACTATGATTGGAGTTACCAACAACTTTTTAATACAACATTTATAAATTTGAATTAATTTCAATGACTGCTAGAGGATCTCCAGTCTTGCTTAATGGAGAAAACCACAGTTCTCAAAGTGTTTCCCTGTAACAGCCTTTTTAAAAAAAAAAACTGTTTTAAAGGGTGCTTTAAAGGCATGTACAATTTCAGTGATAGATTTCTGAACTCTAAATGCATAATGTGACACACTGAATTTGTAAATTTATGTTTGAGGTTTAATTTGTTGCTTAATTAATTTGTGTACTGAGATTATTGTTATGGATGACATTAAGTCCTTGTAGTTTTACCAACTCATACTATTTCTATATACGTAAATAGGTATTTTCAAAGCTCTCCTTAGATTCTGTGCATCTCTGTAGTACTGAAGGCTAGTGTCTGTCTGGTGTTTGGGCATTCAGTGACTGCATTTCTAGTAGGTGAATATTTATAAATATAAGTGACTTAGCTGATAGATTTTTCAACTAGATCCTCAATTATTTGGTTATTAACTTTTTGATCTTTGACATAAAATACAGAGCAAAAAGTTTTTCTATTTCACTTTAGGCAAAGTTACATAGCAACCATCCTCTCTTGTTTAAGAAATATGATTAGTAGAGTCATTTGAGACTTTTATACTGTCACTAATCTCACTTCTGTTCGAATTTTATTGCCATTACTTTAAATATTGTTATTCAGATATGAACATCTGCCTTTTGCAAGTACTGTTTTTTGCTAATACAGAAACTCTTTAGCACATCGGTCAAACACTTTCTTAAAAACAGATGGATTGTGGAAAACAAAAGTAATCAGATTTTGCTATTACGGGAGTTTAGATATCATGTAGACTTCATAAGCTTTTCACAAGGGAGGGAGATGAGTGTGTGAAGTACTTTTGCTGATAGGTATAGAACTGTTTACTAGCTTGATGAAGACTCAGTTTTGTTTTGATTGTCAAACTTCCGGCCAGCACCTTCTGTTTTTAAGTCCTGTCTAGCCAAAGCACTAATTAGTTCTTATAGATCATCATAGCATTAATAGCTTTCTTAAGTCTGTTTTGCATAAATAGGAGGTACTGACACACAAAAATGGGAGAATGATGAATCCTATTGCTTATACTTTCAAAGGGATTGGGGAAGGGGGGGGTGTTGGGTGGTGTTGGATGTTTTGTTTGTTTAAGCTTTGAGTTTTAAGGGTTCTGCAAAAGCAGTTATTTTTGGATTTTGTATTTTGGAGCTTTAGGATTCTGGCATTCAGCCAATGCTCCCAATGCTAATAAAAGCTCTTGCCAGGTCATATATATAACAGTATGGAAACTGGGTAGCCTTTTCGTGCTGCTTGCTTTAAAAATTTGTGTTAATTTTCTTACACCCAACTCATTTTCCTGTAGTAAAAATACTTTATCCATGGAAAAATGTATGGAGACCAGCAATATAAGGTTATGAGGATGAATTAACTTAGATGTATTCAGACAGTGCTGTACACACCATGGAGATATGTCTTAAGATGTCTGACTCCATTATGTCTAGCTAATTTACTAGAAAGTTTTTCATGCCCTGGGATATCAGGTGGATTGACAGAACACGATTACAAAATGCAACAAGTTTGTCATTCAACTGTTGCAGATTTACTGCTGTTACATTTAGAAACTACAGAAACTATTAGACATTTAAACATCCTGATAAAACAGTAGATTGTCTTGAGCATTGTCGGAGTGTTCAGAGAATAATCTGAGAAGTATAAATTTGTAAATTTACCTGCCTTAAATAAGATTACCCACATGATTTCTGGGGGGTGAGGAAGCTGGAAGGAAGAACAGAAGTGAGTTAACTGTACATTACCACTGTTTAACTTTTGTTTTCCTTGAAAGTTTCACTTGTTTGCCATATATGCCACAAGGGGCAATGTACTTAAGCTCCTGCCGTAAGTCTGTTATTTGTTCAGAATTTCTTGTTTTTCTGATCTATGTGATGTGTTGCTTATCTCTATTGAATTCTGAGGACAGTAGGCTGTTCACCCAGCTTTTCTAGTTACTGTAATATGAGCATTAAACAAGTAAATTAAGTTAATGTTTGTTTTATTTTTGTTCAGATAAGATGTCTTCAAATGTGTAGATTCCTTATTTGAAAGTCTGCTGAAGCTCACTAGCTTAAGTAGGTCTTGATTGTCTTGTGTATCACCGTAATGAATAGTTTTATCAACTGAGTTTATAGTCAGAAGTGGTAATGAAAGTATAAATTGATCAATGCCCACCATGGGATGCCTGTCCACACCGTCTGGAGCAAAAGCCGTAAGCCGTTCTCAGTGCTGTCTGCAAGGCTGACTGACAGAGGTGGTGAGGAGGACGCAGGCGTTCTTTGTGCCAGACATTGTTAAGAGTAAACCTGTGACTCTGGAGGCAGGTGTTCCCAAACGCAGGCTTGCTTGGGTACGGTCAGCTCCAGGGCGGTCCCTGTCACTGCCGCCAGCGGAGCTTCCCAGTGGGTGAGCTGTGGGGTAGCACCATGTTCCCCCGGCAGGTACCTGCCTGGTCCTGCTGACTTCAGCTCAGGTGAGTGCTTGTCAAGAGGCACTTGCTGCTAATCAGCAAACAAGGGTGTGGAAGTACTTTCTGAGATAAGTATCAGGAAATGCTGCTGCGGAAGACCTGGCAGGAGCTTGTTTACAGTTTCTTGGAAATTCCTGCCTTGTATCACATTCAGGAAAGGCAATGTGTTACAAACCCTGCAGTATGTGTTAGCAGTGTCTTTTAGCGCACTGACAGGCATGGAAGTAAATCTCAGACTCAGTTTTCTGCAACTGCTTTAATTGTTATCAGCAGTTTTGTAAGAGAGAAGATACCTTTGTTCCGTTAATAGGTATCTGAATTTTACCTTGCTTCAGGGGGGGCTGAATTCTGTAACGGTTTTACTGTCAGGCTTCTTGAGGCTCAGCTAAACATCGTGCCAAGGAGGGAAAATGGACACTGTGTGTTCCTTATGAAGAAACTGTCACTGTGTTTGGTGTCTTAGAGAGTTAGGGCCTATAAGGAAATTTATCCCTTGCTTTTCCCCTTCTAAAGCTGCTTTCTCCAGTAAGGCTAGCAGCGGCTTTATTCATCTTAGCTCTTCATGGTCCTTTCTGTCACTTTTGGTGTTGGTTGTCTGCTTGGTTTGAGTAATTGATTTGCTTGTATAAAAGCCTTTTCTGCTCCAGGCCTACGCTGTCCTTAATACATTTTAAGTGCAGTAAGCCATTCAGTTCTTGTAATATCTGAACAGAATGAAGTGGTGTGCTGCCTTGGGCTACTTTACTAAACCTAGTTACTTGGATAATATTAACAAAAATGTGTTTCAATCAAACTTTTATTTTCAATATTTTTTCTGATCATATCATACATTGATGCAGATTATTGTAATATTTACATATCCAAATGTAAACCCCTCAAGAAATTTTTCTACTGCTTTAGTTTCTCTACTTTACACCTATTGTTCATCTATAGTTAAAAAAATTAGATGTTTTTTAACAAACTGTAAGATGCTGTGGACCAGTAGCAGCAGGGAGTGGAGAAACAGGCACTGTTAATTGAGGTAATGAAATCCATAATTTGTGGCCCAGAGTGTCTCTAACAGTGGGAGATACGATATGAATTCAAGTTGCTTTCTCTTTCAGTTCAGTAAGTTGCTGCATCACTGTTTACATAGGAGAATGCAGATGACTTACCGTTGGCTTCAGGCTAAATAGGGAGGAGAAATGTGGAGAAAATAAATGAATACAGGTCGAACCTCTGTAAGCAAAGTTTTCATGTTGTTCCAATCATGTATCATTTATCTCTTTTAGGTGAGGAAGACTATGTTATTAATATTAACAAAATCTAATTTTACCTTCACAGATAAATTTGAGCAGTTTTGGGCAATAAATCGAAAACTCATGGAGTATCCTCCAGAAGATAGTGGATTTCGATACATCCCATTTAGAATTTATCAGGTAGGAGACGATGAAATAAAACCACTTTTAGTAAACTCTTCCACTGAGGTGTCATATATCATAGTCTGTTTTCAGAATTATATGTTCCCTTTTCTAACATGATGGTAAAACTTCGTATGCTCATCTTTGCTGGACCCTTGAGTTGTATGACTTAGCAAAGACAAAATAGGCTGTATTTTTTCTAATAGATAATTACTATTCATTATGTTGTAAGTGTGTAATACTTTAGAATGTGTAATGATTGGTTTAGGTTATGTTTGGTTGGGTTTTGGTGTTTTTTTAAGCTAATTCTGTCATTAAAAGTGACTTCTAACTATGAAGACTTCCTTGGATGCAAAGCGCCCTTTGAAAAGTCTAAGTCAAACATTTCGGGAACAACACTTTTCCCTCAACCACTGTATAGGCTTCTTTTCTTGTTGGCATTATAAGTTGAAAGTAATGGCATAGGTCTTACATATAGTTCTTACCTTTGTCTCTTAACTGCATACTTTACAATCCAAAACTAGCTTTGAATATTTTGTCTGCTTTAATATACTGGTGTTCTGTTTTTCTCAACAGTTTATTTGGAGACATATTCTTTGGAATCCTTACAATTTTTTGCTTTACCCTTAGTTTTTATAGCATTAAGGTCGTGATGAAGTTTGAAATCAAGTATGGTTAAAAGCTTATACAGAATTCATATAGCCTCTCCGTAAATTAAACAGTTCTTCTTTATTTTGTCTTTGAAACACTTCCATATATTTACATGTTTTGCACCTGTGACTATCAAAAAAAGTCCTTTATTCCTAACTGAGTAGTCTGTAACTACTTTATAACAGGTTTTAATGACCATAAAAACCTATACAATCTTGCAATGGGACTGAAGTAACTTTTAATGTTAGATATAAGACATTTACTGTCATAATGAAACCTTAGATTGAGAACGGAAGTCAGTTATTTTGTCAGAAGTCATAGCAGATGGCAAGGTTTGTATAAGTATCAAAAAGTATGTGTCAGGAAAAGTAGTTCACTCACAGCATTTTGTTTTGTTATTAACTAAGTTGTTTGTTTGTTCTTTGATAGGTGGGGGTTTTTTTTAAGTCTTTTCATAGAAATCACGTAAATGTGTTTGTGAAATAGAGGTTTTGCTGTTTGAATAAGGTACAGACCCTTAAGCCATGAGGGAAATTTTCTGTGATATCACATGATTTCATGCTAGTAAAGCTTTTCTGAAAAAAAAAAAAAAAAGTTGAATTCAGTAATATCTCTTCCTTTAGCCAGTAGAATTTACTTTGATTCTCATTATCTTTTCAATTGGAAACCCTTACTTGCTGTAGTCTAAACCCAAAATATCTAAGAATAGAAGACCAAGCACTAATAAAGATGATGCTGAGACGGCCTTTTAGAAGGTTGGTGTGTATTATTTTCGGTAATGCTGCTCTTAATTTTCCTAAATATTAAGTGATGTTCCTCTTTTTAAAAAAGTGGATGCAGGTGTTTCTAGCTTTTTTGTTTGTTGTGTGGGTTTGTGTACTGATTACTGCTCATCAGAAAAGCCTGTGTATGTAAAGGAGTCTTCAGAAAGTGTTAGGAATGGTGAGATTATAATTTGATTCCAGGCAAGGAGTTAATTCCTGTAGTTTTAACATAATTTTACAGTACTTAGTGACAGACTTGCATATGCTGAAGTAACTGATTCAAAAGTGTTCTTAAGGTGTATTAAACCCCCACCCTGATATCCAGGTGGATGGCAGGAAATTACTAGCCAATTGCTTCAGTGAGGAGAGTTCCTCCTCTTTTCCTTCCATTACACCAAAACTAGCAGAAGGAAATTCTGTGAAGGGAACTGCCTAGGTTGTGTTTTGACAATGTGAGGTAGAGGAATTTGTTTTAATTCAAATAAGTGTACTAGATGATGTATCAACTAAGAAAAAAAATCAGTCTTAGCAATGATTAAATGTGACTGGGAAAAGTTGCTGCATAAAAAATGCATGCAATAAAATGATCTGATATGCTTTTCACTGAAGGCCAAATATCTCCAAAACTCAGAGGTTCTTTCAATTGTAAAGTTTGTCTATTAAAATACATTTCTGAAGAATAATATGAATCATACCACATGTGGTATCCAAATCTGATGGTGTGTGGGGGAGAAAGAGACGGCAAAAATATGAACATTGTACTTGGGTAAGTCAGAACTAAACCAACCACAGGTAATTTTAAAAGCCCTTGTCCAGCACCTCTTCTTTTAAGATCTTCAATCTTAAGCTAAGATTGGAACAGAATCCTGGTATCTACTGTAGAATATGAAGAAAAACACTGAGTATCACTAAGGATCAACTAATTTTCAATTTTGAAAGTTAGCTAAGAGATATTGGAGATTTTTCACCAGCTGTCATGGTCTAAACTGTGTTGTATGGAACTTGCACCAGATGAACCTTTGACATAGGTGGAAACTTCTTCTACCAGAGATGGTTTAAAAATAGTGATTATATTTTTGTGACACTTTTACTTAACATGTGTCCAAAAAAAAAAAAAAAAAGTGCCTCACTTATTTACTTCAGAGGTGTAAGCTGCTGTCTTCAGTTCTTCAGTTGACAGTTGCTCGAAAATGTTTTTGCCTTTTTGTCTGATAGTACTATCGATTAGAGTGCCTTTTTTCACTTGTTCTTTAATAGCAGAAAAAAAAGTAATAGCAGTGTTTTGAATACAGTATGCATTTAAGAGTGTTGTTTTTCTTGTACAGTACGAGAGCTAGTTTGGCTTGAGGACTTTTTCCCCATGTTTATAAGACCAGCTGGTTTTGCACCTTCTAATTGAACAAACTATATGGCTGATAGACAGCAGGAAGCTTTCATCAGTCTTTGGCTCCGGGCGCTGTAATGGAGCATATTAGTCAGGCACCAGAGAGGAGTCTCTACGTGCTGGTAGAGACTGCCCGGATGGACTGCTCTCTGCCGTCTTACGCTGCAGAAGGGAGCGCACTGAGTCTCACTTGTTGTGCACTTATCCCCAAGTTTTGGTATCTTGCTCTCTCCCTGTGTCATGCTCACCCGCTTGCTCTTGCTTGCTCTCTCCCTGTCAATCTGCCTCCTTTCCTCTGGAGTCTGCCCTGTGAGAATATAGGATTTAAAGTTTTAAGTAGCATTTCATTCTTGAGAATGAAATTACAAAAGTATGTGAAAGAAAATGCATTGAAACTATTCATGGCAAGTTCTTCTGAGCTTTTTTAGAGTCACACTTGGTTTAAGGCAGGCTGACTGTTCTGTGTTTGCCAGACCAAAAGGGGATGATCTGGGATTGTTTGGTTGCTTGTTCGTTTTTTTGGATACTGGGACATCCCTTAGAATTGGAATGAGCATTTTCTTTGCTTATATTTTCTAAGGGTTTTGAATAGGTTAATTTTATTGTCTAATTACATAATAGGCCTTAGCTTTGAACAGGTTTTTCCTATCATAAGTCCCTTAAGATGTTGTGATTAAATTGTACGGTCACAAATTGTTATGGTATTTATCTGCCTTGGTAACATGAGTGAAATTCTCTGTACTTAATAATACATTGGTTAAATCCAACACTTTGCTCTGTCAAAGTGGCAGTACTGAGATGTCTAAATAGTTTTAAATGTCTACCATGACCTGTCCTCTAAAAATAGTAAGGTGGGAGGGGGAAATTAAATATTCAAGGACATTATTAATATCTGGCTCAATAAATGAATCAGAAGCCTAAGCGTGGACCTTTCCCAAGCAATGGAAGACTTGTATTTGTATTTCCACATCAATTGGCAGAGCTCAGATAATCAATTGCAAAACCCGTTACAAGTATGCAAATCAGCATCACAATTTGGCTCATGTTATGACAACTACTCAAAAAATGATCAAAACAGATTGATTGGAAAGATACTTGGTCTACCTGTAGTTTCTGAGTAATAATGAATCCATCCTTTTATGCTAGTAGGTTATTAATTTTTTTTTTGTTTTGTTTTGGTCAAAAAGCCTCCATTGCATTTCAAGGCTGAATTTAACTTCAACTCCAGCTTCTAGATTTTGTTTTGTCTTACACCACTTTAAAGTCATCTGACTTTGTAACCTCCAAGTTCACTTATGGAGTTACTTCAGCAGCTTCTGTTTTCTTTGGTAAGCTGAATTAATTGAGCTCGTTAAGACTCTTGTCTTGAGGCTTGCTTACCAGTGATGAAGTTGGTTTATTTAGTCATCTTTTCAAACAGTAGCTAATATTTTGATAATCCTCAAGATCAGTATTAGATTTATGGAGACATAGAGGCCAACAGCAAAGTTTATTTCTGTAGGATTTTAGACCAGAAATACTTCACGCACTGGTGGGAGAGAGGTAAAGTTGACTTCTACTTGAAGCTGCAAATCTGAACATTTTTATGGAAGAAGTTGCAATGCAATGGCTCGTCAGTCAAAAGGACTAGAAAATGTAAGTGCTGTCGACCTGAAGAGGGCAACACAACACAGCAAGTTTCAGTGTGTTGTTGGCTGGTGCAAAATGATCTTGAATAGACCTATGTGGAATACCTTATTTAACTTTTTTCTTATTTATTAAAAATGACGTTTTCATAAAAGACCTGCTGGAAATAGATTAATTTATTTCTTAAAAGCTCTCTTTTACAAAGAGGAAGTTTGGGTCACTAAGAAAATAATGTGAAGTGATGGTGGATTTCTGTAACAGAGCTGTGCTCAACTGAATTTCTGCGCTGAAAAGAAAAAAAGCAGGCTCTGATTCATCATCAATTGAGTACACAGAGTCGCTTATTCTAATATCTGATGGTTCAGTACTGAAGAAACATTAGCGCACTTTCACCAGTTTTAAATTACTTCAAAATCAAAGGTCTGTGGATGAGAAAATTTAAAAGCTTTGGTAGGCAAATATTTTTCCTAGTGCCTCATTACTGAAAAAAAACCCCCACCAGCCTTTTATCAAGTATTGCATATGGGCAGCGTGATCCATAAGTTGCTATGTATATTTGTTTTCTGAACTTGATTGCTCAGTTCTGTGCTGAA